TGCAAGGAATCATTGTCAAAAAATATGGATGAAGAAAGTGCGAAATACAATTTGTACGGGTTTATACATCACCGTGGTGGATCAGGAAGTTAGTTTTTTTTTCTTTTTTTTATGCGTTTCTTATTCGCATATACTTTTTTTAATTGAAATTTCATTTGTAAGGTGGGCATTATATTGCTTATGCCAAGAATCCAACTGATGGAAATTGGTATGAATACGACGACACGGTAAGTCTACCCTCATCCTCCGATTCCCCTCCACCGTTCGAGCCGATGTTTACATTAGAATAATATCTTTGCTATATAGTATGTTACTAAAAAGTCAGAAGCCGAAATATCTCGTCTAGAGGCATATGTATTATTCTACCAACGAACCAGTCCCAAAAAGGAGGACGAGAGGAGAGAGATTCTCGATAAAATTAACAAGGATTCGGTTGGTTTCAAATAAATCTTATTTTTGATTTATTTTTTTTTCTGACGTTATCTTTAATCCATTTTGATAATCACAAATTCAAAGTCGTCTACAGAAGCACATTTCTGGATTTCCCGATTGTGGTTTAACAGGTGGCGATTTATGACGACGGTAACATTAATTTAGTTATGGGTATGGGTCATTTGTTTGACACTGCTAAATAGGTTTCCCCATTTTCTTGTTAGCCCGGTCCTATAAGCAACTATGATTTCATTTGTTCTCATGGAAGTTAGTGTGGTTTTGTCTTCATGAAAGAATTTTTTTTTTTTTTTCTTTCCTGCCACAAAATTCAATTATTTGGTTTGTTGCTGAAATTTAGGCATAAATTATAAGAATTGTAATAAAATCCGTGACATGGTGGTCAAAGTTCCATTCGGAGTGTACAAAACTCTATCTGAGAAATATGGTACAGACGGGAGTCCACCCTTTCTTGCGAACAGTAATGGCACCCCGGCTTGCATGATATGTCAGGTGATTTATACTTCGTCTCAAGTCATCTCTTTCGTCCATGTATTCACCGACATTAAATATTCGATTTGTTGAATTTCAGCAAGATGAAATACTATTGGAGCATCGAAGGCGTAAGGAGAAAAATGATATTGATAGAATGAATTCCAAAACCATAGGTGGTGGAGAATATTGGTATATGATAAGCACGACCTGGTTACAGTGTTGGCACACTTTCATAGCCGGAGGTAAGATGTTTTATTTGCCCACCTCCTTTTTATTTTATCATGATTGTTTACGCGCAAGCTCTGCTCAACCATCAATAGGACTGTTGCCTGGGTCAATCGACAATACCATCTTTCTCAGAGAAGATGGGAGACCCAGACCTGGTATGAGAAGAGGTTTGTTAGTGCGTCCATTTAATTTCCATTTGAAATATCGCTCCGATATTAACAGTTATGTTGCTTAATTTCTAGGAATTCATTACAGTGCTGTAAATGTGAAAGTTTGGACGTACTTTGAACATTCTTATGGAGGTGGACCAACAGTCGTCAGAGGTACGTCTCCAAACTTCTGATACCACTAGCTCTCTCGATCTTTTTGGTTCTTTTATCTCGGCTGACAATATTATTCTGATTTCTAGCTTCCCCTGATTTATATTCTCAACCGCCTTTCTAATTCCTAACTGAATATCGGGAGAATAAAGGTTTTTCCGAATTGTACAATAACTAGTTTTGTTCGATAATATTGTAATATATGAAATCTCATTTTTATACTTATTAAACATGGATCGAGGTTTTTCTCTGTGAATCACCTAATTGATTCTCGATCACAGTTATTCTACGATTTTGAGTTTAAATTCTACTGAACTAATAATCGACCTTCTGCAACATTATTTCCATTTAAATATTTCCAACCGTAAATTAACGATTCTTAAATATTTTTGTCGCGTTTCAATTTAGCAAGTACTTGTCCTGCATTGCATTCACGAAAAATATTTAACGTTGAAATAAACCCTTGTCAGAATTTGAGCAAATGAATATTGTAAAAAATATTTAAAGAGATATCTGTTATATCTGTCATTTATGCAATTCCTATTCTCGGAATCTTAATATCAATTATACAGACGTCGGAATAATTTTTTTTATTTTGTCCCAAATGGTATAAATTATACACTGTGTAAGTGGCAAATTTGAATTCTATCTTATAAAGTCAATCATTAATCAATTAATCTGATCACTATTTCCATATATGTCAATTATATCTAAAATAAACCTCGACCACCGGCCAATCTCTAAGCCAAGTTCTATTACGAACATATTTACTGTATAGAACGATTGATCTGCATA